TCAAGAACATCATGGCATCGGGGGAAATCTGGAATCGAGCAAACGCCAGCATGGACACCGCACACAGCATTTAGTGCTCCTATCTAAAGAAAAGCACTGGGTTGTAGGACATCGATCATGTAATCAAAAAGCACTGGGCTGTTGGCAAACTGCAACGAACAAGAAACTCCTCAGCTACACCCACATCTCACGATATCTAACGATCATACATCATGTATCCTCTGAGTTTTGATGCGATCTGAGACAGCCTATGTCCAACAATGGCTGACTTCAATTTTCTGGATTGCTGCATGCACTCAGCACGCAGGGGCACTCACCTCCAACCACCACAGCCGCACGTTTGAGATAGTGCAAAAACAGCAGTGTCCATGCTCTATATGCATGTGTAGTATTGTGTAGTGATGTATATTCTAGCAATTTATGCATATAGCAAATCCATAGCAAATCTATACGCAAGAGCGAAGACTTGTGCATGCGCAGCATGCAACTATTGCTATTTCTTGGGTAATGAAATGTGATGAATATACCAGGTATCCAACCTTCACGCGCTGAAAGGGATGCCTTACAACCACATGTGCTTCCAACACAAGACTGAACGGATCGTGTTGGGTCCTCCGATGGACTTACTTCCACAACAGTAAAGATCAGTAAAGCCACAAGAATCGCAAGATCTGAACAAGACAAGCTGGGGTCAATGCCCATGAGCTTCGCAATAGCCTTCTGCATCTTCACGTTGATTTCCTGTCATATATTGCAACAGCGGTCTAGCATGTAGGGGGGCAAGTGAGAAAATGAAATAAGCTGAACTGAACTTATCTGAACCGTATCTGAAACGAGCCCGAAAAGATGTGCAGTGAGGTGCTGTCAATGCGATTTCGTCAACACGAAGTGAAGAACGATTGTACACAGGGCAGAGGATCGCAGCGGTCTTGGTGCGCGAAAAAAACACAGCAATGCCTGGATTTCAAATCACCAATGGAACAAATATATCATATATCCAAATGTCTACATTGCAAACATGTCATCCATGTCAGATTGGGTCAGATTAGCCCGGAAATATCTGGAAACGCACTATACAATTTAAACTAATTTCAGAATAACTTGACAAGCATGTCATTTCCAAACATGGAAGTGTTGCCGAGAATTCTGGACTACTGCTGAGCGCGCCCTGGTGGACCAACACAGCACTCTCAATGTCCTGGAGATGCCCAGTTTCACTCTGTGAACTTCAGCTGAAACAAATTGAAACAAACCTGGAGGTGCTTTCAAGATATAGTGAATAATTACATAGCAATAGACAAATTGATAAAATGTTGGAAGAGAGTCTGATGGTACTTCACTTGGTAAAGGATGGTAAAGGTAGCCAATGAATTTTGATAAATTTGGAAGCTCCTCGACAGAGACTTGGTACGCGGCTTCTGCTTTGCCTGCTACAATGGCCTAGCGAAGCACTGCCCAGGTTGACAATCAAACGGATCAAATGGAAGATGTGGGGAATGTACTGAGAACGATGTTCAACTGCTGGTTTCCATTGGACAACATTGGACAAGTGGCGGCGGAAGAATCTCAAGTGAATCTTTTTGTGCTTAAATTGGGAGGAATCTCCTGAAATCACTCCTACTGTAGAAATTAAGTTCCTTCGACCAAAGCTTGATAGTCACTTGCAAACGAAGATGTTTCATATGAATAAAAAAAGACCTTAGTGCCCCTACTGCGTCAGCCGCAGCCCTCCAAACATGACTTGCTGAACTTTGCCAAACATTGGTCAAGTGGATTCATCTTCTCTCAAGTCCCATTGCTTCACCCTGTTTCTTTTCTGTCCGGGTGTACCATTCTGCAGGGTGGGATAATACCCGCCTGTGCAGCGAAGGTGATGATGCTGGCTTTTGTGCAGCCTTTGTCAGGCTGCAAGGCCTCAGGTGCGACTCAGACCAGGATGTCCTGATGTCCTGATTCTTCCGACAATCGACAAATCTGCATGCAAAAAGACCTGCGTGCGAATATATACAGTACGAGTACCTGTACAAAAATATGTGCACAACGGACTGTCCATGTGTCTATGCGCATTGTAGTGGGATCCACTGTATGATGCACTGTGCATCTTTTCAGATGCATTTTCTCTCGTAAGCAGCCATTTATGTATGGGGTATCAAACATTACAAACGAGATATTGCTTGTCATGTCAGAACAAAATGTACCATGCAGAAGAGGTACAGTGGTTTCTCTGCTCTATGTAATCATGTATGCATGTATGCCAACTCTTCCAAGCCAAATGAACATGTATACATTGGCAACAAAAAAAATTGTGTGATATGTATACATATAATATGTCATAATATATCCTGTGAACATGTTGCTGTGTCTGTTCTGTATTGACAAGATTGTGTGTTTGTGTTCAGGCAGGGGTTCATAATTGTGTATGTATGTGCGCATACGAACTACGTATTATATCATCATCATATCTAATAATAGTCGCTGCATGTGTGAATGCACGTGTGTGTGTGTATACCTCCCTGTATGTCTGAATTCTTGAATGGTTTCAGGATCAGTGGCTGTCTCTGTCTGCTTGTTTGATCTTGTCTGCCCATCTGCACGTGTCTACCTGTCTGTCACTCTGCCGTGCTTTTGTGCACCAAGTGAATTACTGTGAGTATCTGATGTATCTGTAAGTGCAGTCTCACCAACGGCCCCCAGGGACGGTCGATATGCAAACTCTGGTTCTGGGGCCGTAAACAAGTTCTCTGGTTCAGTTGGCAAACTTTTAAAGTTAGTATATCATAAAGACCACCCCAAGCAGAGATTTCCACACACACAGACTCAGTATGCTTGGATGTCTAACACTGAAGTGCGTTCAAAAGCAAAACTGCATCGCATCTTTGCTCGAGCAAGTACCAAGCAAGCAAATGAGAATCTAATAGGATCTACTAGCTACAGTAGGGTAGAGTACTGTCAGAACAAGTAGTGCATCATAGTGCATCTATCTTCTCAAGCCGGTTCAGGGAAGTTCGCTCCAGTTCCTCTGAGCTAAGCAGTTCGCCAGCCTCTCGTACTCGGCAAGCATAAACTTGTGAATGTCCTCAAAGGTGACAAGCCATGACCAAGATCGGTTCGAAAGGAAGTCTCCAAAACTTGCCACAAAATCACTGGAAGAGTCACACTCTCTTGGATCCAAACAACTACACAAACCCCGGCTAAACCTCACAGATCTCACAGGTCAATTCTCGGAATGCTCTCATCGTTGCTCAGCTTACATGGACGGTCCAGCAGCTTCGTGGGAGTCAGGCTTGAAGATGCCTGGAGAAAATTGTGCTGTTCAAACTCCATCAAGTCGAATAGGTCGAATAGGTCGAATAAGTCGAATCAAGCTAAGACATTGTGATATGTTGCGAATTGTTGCGATACATTGTGATGATGTTTATCTGTTTGTCAGTCTGTTTGTATCATGCTGTATCGTGCTATAAAAGCCCAACTTGTGCTTCTCGTGACAAAGGCCTTGACATGCCTTGACAAATAGAAAAGCTGCTTGACTTTAACTTTAAAATATTTTAAATATTCAGTGATGCTCAGCTGAGGATTGATGGTGAGGAAAGTGTCTGTGATTTTCCTCTATCCGAGAGGAAACCCATGCAAAGCCTATCCTGCAGGTTCGCTCCAGTTCATGTCTCCGTTTGCGCGACTAGGTTGCCCACTATGCCGAGTGACAAATTCTACATCTTGATTCATCGAGTTGTCCCCCTGTCCGGAGTCACTAAGAGCCTAGGTTCATTTATGTACACAGTATGTTCATTTTATTGTTCATTTCACATCATTTCACTTGTTCACATCCCTCCCATTCTCTCAAGAACCCGGCCTCGGTGACTGCCGCTGTACCAGTGGGCGGAGAGCCCATGAGGGTTTTGATAGCCTCGTGCACAGCAGGGTCGTCCTGGTGCAAGCTACACAGTGTGGTGTGCTACACAAGATATCACAAGATCACAAATTCTGACAAAGTTGCAATATCCTGCAATATCCTGTCAGAAAAAATGTAGAATTATGATGAATCTGTGAATTATGTAGATTGAAATCTCGATCTTCGCCACATCGCCATCACAAAGCAAATTCAGGAGTCTTTTGAGATCTTTGCACATGTTTTCATATGCTTTCTGTACAGTTGGAGATAAACTCCCTCTCCTCATACTCCGCCAGCACTTTGTTGAACTCCACCGCGGACCTACAAGTCTTGAAATGTCTTGAAACTGTTGATGAGAAGTTGCTTCAGCTAGATTTGGCCAAGCTATCAACTGGGCACTGTAAACAGGAGATTTTCGAATTCAATACGTCTGTGATTTCACACAACGGCCATCGCCAAAGTCTCCGCGGAAACCAAGAGGACAGGCACAAATCAAGATGTGAAACACTGTGAAACATTCCCCAAATCTAAGGAGAAGAAAGCAAGCTACGTAGCTAAAGAATGTGAAAGAGTGATAAGTGTGTGCAAAAAGGTGCAAAATGCTGCAAAAGTACACTACCCATAGAATGGATACTGGATACTGAATCACTGAATGATACTGATACATGTTTTATCCCTGTGCATCGTACATCTTGACTGTTCAGCTTCAACTCCAGGGGCCGTGCATTCCATATTTCTCCAAGGGATCAGACAACTGGCAAGTGAGGGAAACACGTAGCAGGGATGTAACTGCACAACGCCGAGTTCCATATAGAGGCTTTTTGGCCAAATACAGCAACAACGCATCCATGGTATATGGCGCAGCTACAGGTAGTACTTATGGGATAGAGGGTTGCATTCACAACGTTACTCCAAAGTCATCTTCTTACCCTCTTCCTTCACACGATCCAAAATTAGCGCTGCAGCCAGGCGCTATCCTGCATCTCTGCACAGCGCTTGCAGACTTGAGAAAGGCCTCAGAATCCGGGCTGGCAAGTGTCGCATGATGTCGCATGTGATAACTTTCAGAGTTAACTAACCTTGCAAAATATTGCAAATCGGCACAATGCTGTCAGTGTAGAATGCCCAAGTCGGCACCGCTTCGACTATTTTGTCCACTCTGTCCCTGCGGATCTCCAGCGACTGCCGCACCTCCTGCAAGATGCATTGCACATTGTTGCTTAAGTAATGCTTGATACACAATCTCAAGACATGCAGAAATATCTGGAGATCCGCTAAGAAACTATCCAAGCAGGCCCTCACGCCAAAAATGACATAAGCAGCGAAGCCAAACGGATATGCAATTTTTAGGCAAGTCTGCGTGGTGATAGAAGTTGTTATCCGATTTGCTGGATGTTTGCTGGCTGCTGGACATGCGATAGAAAAATGGTTTGCAAACGGGCGAGAAGTTCAAATAAATCAATTGGAAGAAAAGACATTGCCACGTTTCTTGTTTGATCCTGTGAGGCAGTCCTGTCACTTGCCGCCTTTCTCTTACTCGGCGATGTTTCAAGTGGGCAGCGGCTCGCAGGGTGGACTTCTGCCGGACACGCCTGTGTTGTGAAGCAGAATGAAACACGCATTATAATGTACTGTACATGTGGGTTCTCGATCTATTCATCTACTGTATCCATTGGAAGAGTGACAAATTTTGAGGAAAGAGAGTGAGAGTGAGAGGGAGAGAGGGACTGAAAGAGTAGAATAGGAAGAGAAAGAGCAAAACTCATACAGACCATCTATAATCATACTTGAATGTAGCTGTGCATATATGATTTTGACATGTTCTGTGATTTGCATACCCATTGATGTTGCAACTCTTGGTGGAATCATGACCCAACTCATCCAAAGAGGTGACGTCATGTAATTACATGTAATATCATGTAATTACATATGAATAGTATAATTATTGGGTTTGCAAGAAATGGACAAAGGATATCAATATCTCACCTGGCTTCTGCATTTCTTTCCTTCACGTACCTTTCAGCTGGCAACATGGCAGAGCTGCACAAGATGCTCATACATTGAACTGATTGAATGGTCGCGAAGGCAAACGGCTGGCTCTTTTGTGAATAGCAAATATCCATGGATTGAATCAACCTGCCCGATCTTGCACCATTGTACCGACTCAATTGTCTATGCAGAATTTGATGGAATCCATACTTTAAATAAGATGAACAAAAGCGCGAACTTGTGCGCATTGAAGATTAGCTAGCTGCAACATCGAAAATTGGTCGCTGTTGAATCTGCTCCGCCAAGAGACTCGTGTGCCCATTTCCACTCTGCAAGTTCAGCAGGTGACGCTTGCACGACCTGCCAACCCAAATCATCACAAGTGTGCTAGATGGTGTCTAGATCCTAGGCCGTCCTGGGTATTCCAAATTCCAAAGTCATGTGCGCGTCGATAGTTACCGATAGTTGTCGAATGATGAATTACGCCCTGCCATCTCCCTGTTCTCAGCGTGGCAACATGTGGCAACCATGCATACTCTTGCCTTCTCTAGGTCATCTAGGTCTTGGTCCTGCACCAAGGCTTCACCAAGAAATGGGTTCCCAGGGCGTTGAACCAGGGAAAAGTAATCCGATGTTTTGTTTCGGTCATTTTGTCGAGGACCGAAAAAATGGTTACTCTATCTATCTTTATTTATATAAATCTATCTGTACATAACATTACATAATCACACATGCATTTTAGTAAAACATATTACAGTATCTGATACTACATTACATTACACTACACTACATTACATTACATTATATTACATTACATTCTATATTGTGTTGTAAGTTGTAATACAATTCTTTAACTCCGTCTCAACCTGGGTGGCGCCCCTCTCCTGAACCAGCACCGGACGGAAAACTCCCAGCCACTGCGCCATTTGACCCCCTGTGGTGGCCAAGGCGTTGATCCATTCGGGAGCCTCAAACTTGAGACATCTCAAGATAAATCTCAAGACAAATCCCATCCACTTTCCAGCTCCAAACATTCAGCCTCCGCCTTCAACTCTCAAACTATTATCATCATTTAGCATATGTTTGCATCTATTATCTACAATTTCATCCTTCCGAAAATGGCCGACGGCGCAGAATTAGCGTGTCTGCCTACTGCCCAACCTCCTCAACACGCAAGCGCCGCACAAATTCAATGCCTGAGGATGCATTGGGGTAAACACCAGTTTCTCATAATTTCTCATGTGTAAATCCAGATTCAACATCACTCAACTGTCACGGGAACTCAAAGTCTGGATTTGTCAGTCTGAGTCCGTAGATTCAGCTTGTGAAATCATTTTTTTCATTATTCCCCTGTAGATTCACCAAATTGTTGCTGAGCTGCTGAAATGCGCGCAATTCCGTCGAAGCAAATCGTACCTGGTGCTGGAAAATGTTCAATCTGGTGCCTCTACAATGTTACCTTCTGCGAGTATTGGCCCTACCCCTTTTCAATGGAATTGGACATGTAGGGGCAATAATATACTTCAACCCCAATGTACCAATCAGTGCCAAACGACACTTTTGCGATTAGAAGCGAGGGCACGACTGTCCGTCCCAAGATTTGCGCATGTCGCGAAGGATCGTGAGGACCTCTCATTGTATTTCCGGTTGTGTGGCTCCGTGGCATGCCAAAAAGGAGTTTGAACATGTCCGAACTGCAAATGACTTGTGTGCGTGACATACTATCATCCCTACCCAACCATCGTACGATATGAGTACAGATTCCCTTGGAAATCTTGGTATATAAAATGATGAGAAAAACGAGAAATGATTTGCAATTGCACCAGGGCTGTGGGTTTGCAGTTTAATCAGTCTGCAGTTTGTCATGACATCTGTGCCTCCTCAGGTGCCAAAGGCGTCTGCCCAAGTGGCAGGCGCTGTCGGAAGCGTCCCAGGCTACTTGTGCCAAAGTGCATGGCCTTGCGGAAGCTGATCAGTGATGATCTTGTGAAGGTATACCAAGTATACCAGGTATCTGCAAAGAATATATACTGAAGAAAAATCAACCCCTGCCGCCCCTCCATCAACCGCCCACGACACAATTTCACATATAATATTCTGTTATATAATATTGTTTAATATTACATAATATAATAATATTATATATATACCCTATGATTCCATGGACCTTTCCTGGCATGGTCGTTCGCAGAGAGGACATACCAGGGTTTGCTAGGACATGCATGGATATTTTCCTGGTATGGTCGTTCAGGCTTTCCCAGTATAGTCGTTGCATGTTTCCTGGTATAGGCGCTTGGGACATCACAAGGATGGACCGTGGACAACACGTGGAACGCACATGTGAGAACGTGGAACGACCTCCTGGGAACGTGGAACGACCTCCTGGGAACGTGGACAGGACGTGGACAGGAGGTACCCTAATTCAACGCCAATTCGCCCCTCCAGCAACCAAGCCATTTCCCAGCATGGGCGAGAGTGTTTTCCTGGTGTAGTCGTTCTTGGTTTCCCACCATGGTCGTTCGAGAAATCCCGTTATGGTCGAGCAAAACCCGTTATAGTCGTTCATTCCTACTATAGCCTAGGCTATGACAGAAACAGTCGAGGATGACTAGGGTATATATATATAATATTCATATATATATAATATATATTGTAGTATGCCGTCGTTCAATTGTGACAAAATGCATGACCCGCATGGCCTGAATTCCAGAACCATCTTCGCACCAGCCAAAACTCCATTCCAGCCAGTACACCTGGCACTTCACGACTAGAAGCTGCTAAGCTACTAGAAATGTAAGACAGCTCATCGTGTGACCCTGGTGTAACCATGCTGTGACGAATCTTATCTCGTGGTTCAGCTCCTAAATCATCTCCAGAAGTAGCTCCCTGCCCACCTGCACACCGACATGAAACGCGCCACCCAAGCCAGCAAGCCTCCGGCACACACGCAGAAACAAATATTGAGAACATCATGACGATGACGCCACGACACATCGTTCGACACAATCACCCTGACGCTCATTGTATTCAATTAATTAATTAATCTCACAATGTCTCACATCCTCTACAGAATGTATCACAGCGCACTTTCCCAAGAATTTTAAGAATTCTCTTTATGACTTTCTATATCTTTCTATCACTGTTATCACTCCGTTCTGACCTCTCCATCCTCTCCGCTTCCCAAGGGCCCCGACTCGGTCAGAGCCGTGACAGCAGCAGTGCCATGGAGCTCCTCGGCAGTCACTGCCCAGGTCTCTCCCAGTCTCTCGAGATCTCTGGGCTACCGGCATAAATACTCAGCGCCACGTCTGAACCCATGATCACCTCCAACAAAGCTCTGAAAAATGGATGAAAATGCGGCAAATATATGCAAATGCTGAACTTGAGAAAAACAAAAATATGATATGTCCAAAAATGGTGCCTCAAACGTGTAAGCCCAGAGTAAGCAATCACAAGCCGTCAGCCAGAGTGGATAAAAGAGCATGGGAGTTGTTGCTTTGATTCAAACCAGCACCTGGTAAAGCTCCTCCGCAAAGCCTCGCATTTCCTACGGCACGAGACTTGAAATCTGATATCTTGTGAGAATCCATGATGAAGTTCTTCTGTGGGTTTTATCCAACTGCACGTCATCAATTCTTATCAAACCTGAAAAAGCTAGCGTCGCTTGTAAGACTTGAATTGGATATTGAATGATATTGATATATATATATATTGATTAACATAGAATATCGCCTATCGCAGAATCGACATGTACGAGTACATTCATAGCTTGCATTTGGATTGACACCTGTACAGGGAATGGAGTGAATGCAGTCGGCATGTTGAAGCCAAGAAGTCCTGGATTTGCTGCTCTACCCATCCATGGATGTCCGACAGCCTTTGAAGGCTTTGAATGGTGCCACCTGATAGGAGGAAAGTTCAGATGAAAAGACTTTGCAATCAGAAAGACTCTGTGGGCAAGCCTTCCTAAATTTACCGCTCATTTCGCCAAGAGACGCAATGGAGGCATCAAGTTCCCTTGGACATGAAATCATCAAGTTCATTTAACATTGAAGAGATTTGTATGATTTTGTATGTAAGTATCCAAAGAAATTGGAGCCAAGTGCGAGCTTATAGGCAAGGGCGTCGACATGCATGTGATGATATTTGCGCAAAAAAAATGAATAATTTGAATGCTGCATGCTGGGTCCATCGCCCTTCCCAAGTGCTGCTGCTAGCAAGCTGGCAACCTTAGAGTTTGCGGATGTTTCCAGCGTTTTGTCGCAGTCAGAAGCCTCCGTATGGAAATAAAAGTTGAAAGGTTGAAAAAGTAGGTAATAACCGATATCAAGCCCTATTAAATCGGTGAACAACTGTTTCGCAACATATTGACAATGAAATACTGAGACGTCAGACTTCCTCCGAATGGATCACTTTCCCAGTGCTGAGCGGCAGATGCGCACACGTGTGACCAGCCGAAGGCAAATTTCTCCTGCACCATTCAAGTTTCAGGAACAGTCCATGGCAACTTGTTACTTCTTGGATCTTCTTGGCCCCTTCAACACAAATTCTTAGTTGGATATGATGTTCTATTTTTTGGCTGTGCCAAAGGTTTCCAAGTGGTTCCAGGACGGTTCCAGCGGGATCTCCCAACCTCAAGGGTTCCAATGGGTTCGTGCAAAGTTCCGAGGCTCCAAAGTTCAAAGACTACAAAGCTCCAAGCGTGCGAACTTACAAAGTTCTATGGTCCCCATGGGTTCCAGAGTTCCAAGGTTTCAGAACATCACAGAATTTTAAAGTTCCTTCTGAGGTTCAAGGCTCCAGGGTTAAAAAAATTACTAAAGAATGTCTTGCAGAGAAATTTCCTTGCTACCAGGAAATGCCAACAGCCAACCTTTGCTCTTCCAAATTCAATCACTGAGCCACTCACGACTTAATCAATAGTTATTTCCTGCATTATATACTACATTGTTGTGGCAACAAATTAGCTTATTTACCTATCAAACAAACGCTGACCCAGAGAACGTCAGGGTCACAGAGAGCAAGCGTGCGAAACACTTTGTGTGGGCATGCGTGCTGAACCTTCTCGAGTGCAGTGGTCTGGCGAAAGATGGCGAAAGATGGCGAAAGCAAACAGAGGGGAAACGTGCGAAACCCTGCGTTTATTCAGATTCAGGTGGCCTGAAGAGAGGGTCAGTTTTTTGCGGTTTCGGGCCTGGGTCCAGGAAAGCTGGGGCGGAAATGTGCGCAAGACTGTAGCGAGAGTTCGAGTTGATGGACAAGACAGACAGTTCGAGTTGATGAACAACAAGCGCAAGCGCACCGCACCACACCCCCCAACAATCTTGGAACAAATTTGGAAGATGAACCGGAAAATGACGACACTGTAGTGTGAGCTCAGCTTCATATTTTCAATCTCTCTCTCTCTCTCTGCAGGTGTAGTTCTGCCGAGGCATTAGCTGTCCTGGAAATCGACAGACCAAGCATCTCGTCTCGCCGTCCACTTTGATAGACCATCTTCCTGTGCACTGACTTATCAACGGCTCTAAGGTGCCCCTGCTAAGCTGGACTAGATGGACTAGGTAATGAAATATGATGAAATCACAAAGCTCCAGCAAGGCTGGAAGGCTTCAAGGACCGTCTGTCCTCCGGCAATGCTTCAGCCAAAAAAAGTAGGTTTTGCCAAAGGCCTCCACAGGGACACGGGCGAACACAGGGACAAGAAACAGCGCTGCAATAGAAGCAATTCTTCGAGCATCTGTGAGCATCTGTGGAAACCGTGGGAAAACCAGTCATCCCTCTAAATTCCAAGGATTGTTCAAGTTGGTCACGGGTGTTTGCCTTCAGCCTCGACATTCAGCTGCTCCAATGCAAAGCTTCCTGCGGCTGAAGCGTGCCAAATAGTAAGGTAGAATAAAGCAAACACACATGATCTATATGTATATCTATATGTTATGTTCGTTTTCAAGCATCAGTGAGCAGCAGGAAAGCAAGCATGTCACTGTCAGTTGGTACGCTCACAGTGGGCAGGTGTCGCACTCTGTAGTTGTCACTGCCGTGCATGTCCTTCCTAGCCCCTACCAGCTTTCCCACAACCCTTCGGCACGACAGCGGTAATGAAGAGTGGAAAATGATCTCATCTTCTGCTACAGATTGTTCCAATACTTGCAGAAGACTTCAACATATTTCAACAATGTCGTGCTCTAGCTGCATCACCCGGTACTGTTCTCTAGGCAAATCGGCCAAAATAATTAACCCCTTCGCCCTTCGCTAATTTGCTCCTTCGATCAAGAGCTGGAACGCCACAGCAGTAGTTGCCAGACGTTCCATCGACTTTGGCTCTTTGAAAGATAGAATGAAGTCCTGGGGAGTCGATGGAAGAGAACTCAGAAGCAGAGCACAATTTTATCGCGATGCAAACCTCGTCATAGTGGAGCTGTGACGGTCCTCGCATCTGGTCCACCAACTCACTTCGGTTTTTTCTCTCAGCTTCGACACCTGGCAAAATTGGCAAAGAAGTCATCCCACAAAGCCTCTCATGTAACCAACCGATACCAGTACATGCTGCTACATCTGAACCTGTACGCCGCGAAACAAAATCACACAAGGCAACAGCTGAGAAGCAGCTGGTATCAGTTGCAGTAGGAGTCAGTACAAGTGCTTCCTGATGCTTCCTGGTTCCTGAGGGATTATTTCGTGCACTACTTCGTGTGTGTGTGTGTGAGCTCGTTCCGCTTGCACCAACTCGACATTTCTTGCCCGGCCTGGAGTGCTCGCTTCATCAGCCTGGCTTCTTCAAAACGCGCACCCTGCCGGAAACACAGAAGCGAAAACAACAAAAAAAGCAGAAAAGCGAAATTGCAGCTGACACTGCTGAGAAGGACTCCAATCTGGCGGACAGGAAAGAAAACAACGCAAACGTTGTTGCGTCACTAGATGCAAAGACGTAGAATCATTGAAATCATGTCCAAGTCATGAATTGCCAACATATTCGACAAGGAATGGCAAAGAACAGCGAAACAATCAGACTGGGTAGACTCCACAGTGTCCAATGCTGACTATCCGCGGCTATCCATTCACTCTCTGTCAGTAGCAAATGAGCAATCCAAGAAGTCTTGCCAGCTGTGCTTTTAACTTTTGACTCCTCTTTCTGGCCTTGCAAAGAGCGAGTTCCTCTTCCCACAGAGTGCACTGAGTTTCAGCCAAGTTCGCCGAAAAGCGCTCTACCTCAAGGCCACACAAAAAAATACACACAGTGCAAAAGAATATAAAAGAATGTATGAGATCTGCTTGAGATGAATATATGAATATTCTGAATATCTGTTTCAGACAGTGGCGCCACTTGGTCTATACTTGTGAATGAAGCAAAGCTGGACAGGGGCGTTTTGGTGGAACAGGTTTGAACGGATTGATCAGATGGCCTGACAATTTTTTTCATTCCGCTGATCCTTCCTTTCTTCCTTGCTTCCTTGCTTCCTTGCTAGATCTTGCTAGTGAACAAGACGAACAGGTTCCTCCAAAGGCCGTTCTGCCCCCTAGAGACTCAGAGACCCATATTTCTCAGGAGCTTCCTGGTATGCATCTGTGCGCATGATGGAGATTGTGGCTGCTCAAAGCAGCTAACAGGGATTTTATAATATGATTTTATGCGACTGCTACACTCAAGCCCGAAAACATGACTTTTCAAGCCATACAAGCTCGAGCTGCAAAAGAAGTTTTCACGGTCAAGTAACTAGTTCCTCCAGCCACTTTCGACATGATGAGTTCATTCACGCTCATGGCAAATCCCGCTAGCTGCTAGTCCATCTCCAAGCACAAAAGGAAATTTTGAAAAAGACTAAAAGCCAAAACAGATGTTATTAAATATATTGAAATATAAAGAAGTGTTAGAACACGTGCTTCATCCAGTGTGACCCCAAGTGTCGAAGAGAGGCTTTACTTCCCTTGGATTCCTTTGGTCTCTCACTTTGCAGATTCGCAGTCCCAGTTGCAAGCGATCCACTCTCCAGGACAGGGCCCGGTGATTGGATTGAGGTTGCGAGCTGTTGCATGTCCTTGAAACATCTTGAAACTGTCTGGCAAAGACTTTGACAGGTTAAGTTGGGAAAGTCGGTCCCAAGGTATGCAGTAGATAATTCGGACATATTCGGGCCATAAAAAGATATAAAAATATTTGTCCTAGAAAAGGGTATCCAGCATCTTGCATATTGATGTGGACTTCGTGTGTCATGCGATTGGCAGGGCCACTTGTCGCTTCCATACAAACAATGCCCCTTGGTGCCGGGCCCGTTTGCATCATCATTCCGCATAAATTATGCTAAGCAAAAAAGCAGTTGGGATTCTTTTAGAGAGGAAGCAAACAAAATGAAAAACGGCAATGCCCAAATCCAAAGACCGTCCTGCTGCTCCCAACCAACAGCATTTGCTGCTTCGATATGCAGTGCGCATGCTGCATTCGATGTCAAATTCTCCAGGCCTCCTTGCAGAGTTGGAAACGAAGACATAATGACGGCATAAGGGCAACGATTGTTTTTTTGGGTTCTAGCGTTGTCCCAAATGGCCAAAACCAAACATGCGAAACATATGTCTAAACTTGTGCCTGGAAGAAGAGCCACCCACGTGGTATCTTGACATCTATGTGCAAGAACTCGCCGTCCCCCAATTTGTACAGTACTAGCCACGCAAGGCGCGGCATCAGGGTCGCTGACCTCACACAGGCACAGTATGGCACAGTTCAATCATGTTCGGTCCATGCTGTGCTACAATCTCCCACCAGCAACGTTTTCCCCACAGCTTCACACACTGTGATATGATGTGAATTGGTGCGATACGTGAAAACAATTGAAAACCTACATGGGATTGTAAGACAACATTCTACAAATGTCTACAATGCATTCCGGCACCAACAGAGATTACTGGCTCAAGTATTCTACCTCTTACACGGAATCAACAACTGTGCAAAGCCGATTTTGGCCTTTCTAAGAGTAACGCATAGAAAAGCACTCAAACACACATCAAACGGGAACAGTTTCTAGCACTTAGAGCAAGTAATGTTTGCATCAATCGCAAGTGGATGACATGGGAAGACTCTCTTGGACATGAATTATGTAAATGCAAGATGTGTGTATTTTTGAATGTATATATCTTCTGTGGAAATTGCACCTGCAGAAGTTGGAACAGCTAACAGGCTAACATCTTACATCCACGTTGCAGTAAAGGATAGCACCAATGAAGACGAACTTCCCGGTTTGTCAGCACCAGATGCATGAATTCCTTGGTAGCAAGGAGGCCATGAATTCGGCAGAGAGGTAGATAAGCTGCAAATTGCTGCTACAAATCTAGAGATACCCAGAGATCTTAGACAAATAACTTTAACAACTTAAACTACTTAAACAACTTTAGTTCCTTTTAAAATCTTTTAAATTTAGCTCTCTTGGCACCGATAAGTCGGGGTTCCTTGATCATGCGCTCTCTGACACCGCTCTTCCTGCATGTCTTGCGACACTTTGCAGAATGGCTTGTTGAGCTCAACCTTTTCAGAACAACCATGAACAACCATGAACAACCTGCTGACCTGTCCTTCGTTCTGTCTGTGCCAGCAGCTGCTAGCAGACAGCAATGCCAGATTATGCCAGGTGTCTTTCTAATAAAATCTCGGAAATCTGTGGTACTCCTGGAGTGTTCCAGGCCTCAGATCATTCCCAGCTTCCCAATACTTCCCAGCTTCCGCTTTCGACTGGATTTGCCTACTCGAATATATTCTGATTCAGCTTATACGAGTACATCCTACAATCCTACATTGGTCCATTGGTCCTACACCATCCTCAAATCTTCACACGACGATCTTGTGTACTCTGTAAAGGCCTACAAGGACTGGGAAACAAATCTAAGGGAAGCACGTGATGCATCCAAGGTGCGAAAAGATCTGACCAGTCAGACCATCCTGAATCGTTCTGCGCCTTCACACGGAAGATGTATTCCTCCGAGTTTCAAAGTTACATCATGTTACATCCTTTCTACATGGCTGACATGGCTGACATGGCTGACATGGCTTGACCATCCTCGTACACTGTTTTCTAGGTCTCTAGGCCTGGAAGTTCATCACCTTGAATCCCAAGTCCGACGTCCCAAATGTCCCAATTGAATCTCAATATTTTCAATTGAATCATGCCCGACTGAGTCTGTTCGAGTCATTTCGAGTGTCCTGAGCCGCGTCTAATCCATACACCACTTGGATCCAGCCATCTGGAACCCGCTGCAAGAAACCGTCGGAGATAGGCTGCCACGAGCCAAACATCGACCTAGAAGTGAAAAGCAATAGGCATATGTAAGAGATTGTAACATTGTAAGAGTATGATCGCGTATGGAGGCATTGCATGTTAAGGTTCGTGTGTCCATCTGTGTCCCATTTCATCATGAAGCATCCAAATCATCCAAGAATAGTCCAAATCCTGGTCAGCACTTGTCTGCCATGATGCTGCACTGAAAACTCCACCAACGCACCGTGCACCGGCGCTCCAAGTGGATCTGGCACTTGCCAAAAGAGCCTGCACCCAGAATTCTCCAACACTCTCCAATTCTGGGCTACAAAAACTACAAATGGTGCTACTAGTAGGTTGCAGAACATGGCCCTGTGCAAAAGCGGTGAACGCTGTCTCTTATTTTGTAACACTGGGGCTGCGGAGTATAGGTCTAGGCACTTGGTAACTAGCTTTACAAGTTACTTGGCTGCCACATGCATGGTGCCATGTTTCTTTGCACCCTCCTTAAAGGTAGGCGCCAACGTGCCATTTAATTGAGGTCGCGTATTGGGCTCGGTTACGCTACCTTCGGTCCATTGACCATTTTGAAACACTTGCTGCACGGTTTAAATTTCTTCAAATCCGTGCTTTCCTTCAGAGTTTCGCACTTGTCTGTGCTGTGCACTCTTTCTCCATATTTGGAGATGTAGTAGACGTCGTGCTCAGCCTTGCGTCGCGGCTTGTAGCACGGCCATAGCAAAAGTTCTTTGTACATACAGCAGATTGCTGCTGCACACACGGTGAAACATACCAGGTTGAAAGTCAAGCTGATTATCAGAAACAACATGACTACGTCCAACCCGGTGTCACCCGGCATTACCCTATCAGTCAAGGGTGTTGCCCTCAGAAGTTCCATTTCGTTTGACTCCTGCGGCGTACTGTCTGATTGTAAGCTTTGAGCCTGTGTGTGGCTTCCATGGTTTGAGGTTTTCCGCTATGGATCCTATTGTTCTCATGTTCACCTTGGAAACATGTTTGTCCAGTCCCGTTTCAGTCAGGTCGACCAGTCCGATTCGTTCCGTTCCAACTTTCACCATTTCGCCTGTTGCGAGGTGTTTTGTGAGAATGTCCGCTGGGTTTTGTGTGCCTTCGATCTTTCCGACTATTACCTGCTTGCTTTTGACGAGGGATTGTATGTAGAGGTGTCCTACTTCGATGTGTCGCATTTTACCTACTCCCATCTTTCTTGCTGCTTGAAGTGCTGCTGACGAGTCGCACCAAATCCTTGGTGTCTCTACTTTCATTCCAAAATCCTGCTCTGTCAGATTTCTAATGAAAATCGTTGTCCTGCCACAGTGTGACAACGCTCTAATCTCTGCTTCACCTGAGCTCGTTGCAGGTTCTCCTGGCTGAGTGTGCGACGATGATTCAACCAACGTCCCTCCTAAGAAAATAGCTTCTCCACTCGTCGAATGTCTGGTCTCCACATCTCCCGCCCAGTCACTGTCACAATAACTGTGCAACGGAAGTCCTTCTTTGATGTAGAGTCCTTCTGCTACCTTTGTCACGTGTCCATAATTCACAGTTCCTTTTAAGTATCTTCCTAAGACTTTCAAGTTGATCATGTCACACTCTCTTGGTTCTCGGATCCTTTTCGCCAGTTCTTTCACACTGAACTTTATGTCAGGTCTGTCTTGTGATAAGTAGATTGCACTACCTACACAACTTGCAAAGATTGCTTTCTGTTTCTCATCTAACAGCTTGTCACGTTCCAGTTGCAGCTTCTTGCCTGGAACAGGTCCTGGCTTGGCATTCTCCAAACCTAGTTGAGTCAATATCGTGTTGATATGCTTTGCATTTGGTTTGGTGATTACAGCTTCTTCCACACTGATCTTCGTCCTACCTAGGAATTCCGACGTTGTCTTGCTTCCTACATGCGGGTATTCCAACTCACCCATTTTGAGCTTGCATCCACACCTAGGTAGCTGGATCATCAGCAAATCCTGAATGACCTCTTCTGGTCCACAGATGTCAAAGTCGTCGATGTGGTGTAACAGGACTGTCCCTGTCTTCTTGCACTTGTAGACACATGCGTCGATTTGGCCTCGAGTGAACTCGTACTTGTCCTTTGGTAGTTCCTTCGTCACAATTGTGTCCAGCCTGTCTCTGTACTGCGCTGCTGCTGATTGCCGACCATACAGATTGCCATTGACTTGCCAAACTATTTCTGACTTTGGAACATCCTTCAGTTCTTCTTGTACTTCCTTGCTTTGCAAAAGGAGCCATTCGTCATACTCCTCAAGCCATTCCTCTGGAGGTTTCATCATGACTGGTTGTCCTGTTCGATCTCCTTGATCTGCTGCGATCAGAAAAGCTGATGTCAAATCTGCTTTGCATCGTGGCATTCCTGTGCTCATGGAATACACTTCCAGTATCTTTCTTGACGCTGCGAACGGTGTTGGACAGAAGTTACTCGGAGCTTCTGAACTGTTCTTGTCTTCCTTTTGTCCTCGGCGTTTGAAATCCTGACATGTCAATCTGGATTTTGCTACTCCTTCGCTCACCTTGTCCACCCATTTGTGTCCGAACACAATGATTTCTTTTGGTAGAGCTCTTCGGTCTCTGGGTGTAAAGGCTTCAAAGGATTCATTCAACTTCTTCAGTTCTGCCTTCCTAGCAAGTTTCCGTTCTTCACCTTCTGGTCCCAAGGTGTCTAGGTAATCCATGATGTTTGCAACAGTCTCTGTCTCGAAGTTGTCTTTTCTCTCTTCCAGCCACTTCTTGAAGTACCGGTAGTCCTCGTTGCTGAAGACCTTGTGCCTTTCCTTGAGCTTGTCGGGCTCGAGTACTATTCCTTCACCAATGCTAGATACCACATCTTGGGCTGCATCGCTCATCGCTGCTTCCGGAGGTGTGTCGATTCTGAACACTTGAGGTGCTCGATGCAACATTGCGGTATCCCCCGCTGGGTTAGCAGAGGTGCTTTCCTCACTCACGCGCTGTTTCTTCGCTTCCTTCTCCTCGATGCTAATGCTTTCTCCTTCAGCATCAACCTTCATTGCCTTTGGTGCTTCTCCTGGTTCTGTCTTTTGCGCTTTCTGAGGGCTCTGATTTCTTGGCGTTCCTGGTGCTGACCTAGTTCCAGTTCTACATCTCGGCGTTCCTGGCGCTGAGCCACTCTTCACCTTTGGTGTGTTTGGTGATGGCGCCACTGCCGGTGTAACTGGTGCTGGCACAACACTGCTCTTGCCAACAACTGCTGGCAAACTTCCTTGCTCTTTCTCTTCTCCCTCTTCAAACTCATAGGTTTCTTGTGCTCCCAGTTCAGGAACCATCTTGAGCTTGAGTTCTGATCTCACCGGATCTGGCTTTGCTCTGTCTGATCCCAAAACGGTGTTCCATGGTGCTCCTCTAGCTGCATCCATGACGGCGTTCTGGAATTGTGATCCCTTTGGCAGTCTTCTCACGGTCCTGAATATCAAAGCTCCAGAACTTGTGAGTACCAAGTGTTCGTCTGAACTTTCTGTCTTTCCTGCATAGATTCCTTTCACCCATCTAGGCGCTGCTTTGTCTTTGACCTTTGGATACTTTCCCATGACTGTTTCTCCGAGCGGCATCAGTTCACTGATATACTCTCTTCCTTTGATCACCTGGAAAGCTGTGGTCTTCGTCTTGTTGATGTGGAATCTTGCCAAAGTCCAGGCACTGTGTCTCACCACCCATGGAAACATGTAGTGGTCCGTGCCGATCTTCTCCTGGTAGTTCTCAGACAACTCACATAGCCATGTTCTAATCTTTCCCGCAATCAAACCATTCACCATTTCTCCATCGGCCAGAGATTGCGAACTGTACCTTGGTGATTTTCTGATGTCAACTCTTTCTGGCATCAGATCCCTCACTCTTTCAAACAGTTTGTTCATTGCGTTCTCCTTGTCCGTCTGGATGACCACCTTCTCCCATCCAAGTTCACGAATCCAATTTGCCAAAGCATCTCTTGCGTAGTACCCTCCTCCTTTGGCAGGCACCACCATGGCAAATGGATACTGACTGTCCTTGCAGATGGCAGTCAAAACGGTAATCAGGCCTTTCTGTTTCATTCCTTCCTCTTTGCCCACTTCGTTTCCACTTGTGCTGAAGAACATGTAGTCTGAGTAGATGATGTGCTGCTTCTTGTCCTCTTTCTGCTTTCTGTGAGGTGCGTCACGCCCTTGTCCTTGTACACACACTTCACACCATGGTTCAAAATTTGCATGGTGCAACATGTGCTTCTCTCGTGCTTCTTGACTAGGCGCCACTGGCACGTCAGGTTCTTTCACGTGCTCATCTCCTCCTTTCTCTTGCAACTGTCTTTGTTCTCTGATCTCTTCAGCTTCTTTCTCCTTGCGGTCCATTCCATCCTCTGGATCGTCCATGATCCAGTCCATGAAGAAATCGTCCATGTCCTGCTCGGGATTGACCAATCCTTCCACTTTCTCTGCCTCCACTTTGTCACCTTCTCCTTCATCCTCTTCTATCTTGAACCAGCTTTCTCCAAGCCATTCTTTATTCATATTCTTTGTTGCTGTTTTGCGTTGCTTCCAGGAACTTTCATTTGTCTCATGCGATCCATCTTCTGTGAAGTACATCTTTGTGAGTCTGCCCGGCTTGAGCTTTGCAATATCCACTGGCAGATCATCAACCCTTTCAGGATTGAACAGTTGAAAACGAGGGGTGTTGTGCACTCGGATCACGAAGTCACCATCTTCATTGGACTCCATTTTCCAAGTGTCTGGCTCTCGTTCTTCTTCAACTCTGACGCCTCTCATAGCTGCTACTCTTCTGGTTGCACCAGACGAGCTTGTACTGCTCGCATCTTCCTGCTTGTTCTGCTTCACTTTCAGGTACCAACGTTTGCCATGCAATTCCAATGGGACCTTCTCGTTTGTGCTGGTTATCATGTAGCAATTTCCTTGTTCAAAGTGAACCTTGTGACCTTTGTCAACCAAGTTATACACTGACAGTAAACTCTCTGCTGAGTCCGTGACGGTCATTGACATGCAACCTTTCAGATTGCCAACTTCCACTCGTGGAAACTGCTTCCCATACACAGTCAAAGGGTTTCCCTGTACTCCAAACAGTGGTTTACCCAAAGAAGTATTGATGGGGTCCTGAAACTCACCATGCTTTGCAACGTTTTCACATGCTCCCGAGTCAACCAACAAATAAGTAAACTCATCGTCAGCTGACACTGCACTCACCTGCGCTTCTCTGACAGTGAAAACCACTTGGTCATGATTCACTGGCTGTTGGGAAACAGAACTAACCGTGTCGGAACCACTTGCACTCGAGTTGGGCTTGTCGTTGTTGTTTGCGTTGTTACCGGTGTTGCCCGTCGACGATGCGGTCTCATCCACGGATGCTACTTTCCACCAACAGCTCTTTGCAACATGACCATATTTCTGGCAATTGTGGCATTGTTTTCCGGCATCAGGGTTACTCACCTGACTATTCTTGCCTCCCTGCTTGCCACTGTCTCCTTTTCCTTTACTCTTTCCTTTAGAGTCCTGGCCTTTGCCTTTCCCTTTTTCATCCTTTCCTTTACCTTTACCTCCTTTCTTTCCTCCTTTGTCCTGACCGGTGTACCCTTTTTGTTTTCCTTTGTCTTTTCCTTTTCCTTTTCCTTTCTCTTGACCCTTGCCAGCAATGGCGGCAAGCACTGCGCCAATGTCCATGGGCATCGGTCCTCCATCATCTGTCTTGTTAGCAACCTTAGTGAGTCCAAACTGTGATCCCTGAGGTCGCTTCCACACATTCTTGTTGATCAGGTACTGCTCTATGTAGTCCCGAATCTTGGCATATGTGTCCAGAGCGTCGCTGTGCATGAAGATGCTCTGCTGAAGCTCTGCTGGGGCCACATGCGCAAGAATCGAAATCTTTTCTTCCTCAGAAAATGCACTTTTGGTAGTTCTTTCAAAGTCTCTGAGCTCTGATTCCCATTGGTGGAGTGCTGAACTCCAACTGTTGCTGTCCTTAGGAAAATTCGGATTGCTGAGATGCCGTCTCCACACCCATGCCTTAGTTCTGTAGGCTGGCTCAGTCAACTTCACAAGTCGACGCCACACCTCAAAACCGTTTGCCGTGTGAAGTCCTTGGCCAACAACATTCATAGTAGGTTCAGGACAGTACTGAATCAGAAAAGTGTACATAGCCTTAGCTAACAGATCTTCTTCAGGTGCCATCATCTGGTCATCAATGGGATCCTTTTCATCCCCAAACTTCTGCAACAGTTCAGGAAACTTGGGGTGAACCGTAGATGACCATGCCGTGAACACATGTTTAAACTTTTCCCAACCTTCTCTCTTACCATCATACACATGCGGTTTGGGGACGTTACTGGGGTGTATCAACCTGGTGAACTCAGTGCTGCTTTGCGCCTGAGCTTGAACCTGGGACTGAGCTTGCTGCTGTGCTGTTGCTAGGGTTTCTGTCCTAGTTGTCAGTTCGGTCCTGGTCCTGTTCAGTTCGTCCGTTGGCTGTTGAAGCCTAGTTTCAGTTTCATTCAACCTGGCAGCTTGACTTTCATAGCCTGCGTTGGCTCTACGCAGACCTTCCAGCAGTCTGTTTTGCTGCTCCTGTAGCTGCGCAATCTGCGCCTGCAGCTGTTCATTAGTGGCCATCGCCACCCGAGAAAACTATTGTACAAAGGTGCGTCTTGCACCAGCGAGGGGTACGCTAGAAACTACGAAGTCTTTAGCGGTGTTACCCGCCTCACCAGCGGCCTCCGCGCCACCCTCGGTGATACCCGCTGTTGCCAGGGTACCACCCTTCAGCCCAAGCCCCGCTGTCGCTCGTCCAGTTGCTTCGCGAACCAGAGCTTTGCGACCAACTTGCACTGCTTGAACTTTGGCGACTGCTCCAATTGCTCCTGGAGCTTCGCGCCTGTTCCTCTTCTTTCTCTTTCACTTCCTCCTTGGCCTTCTCGCTTCGGAGGTCGAGGTCTCGAACAGCTCGTGCGACTTCTGACGCCGCTACTGAACTGCTTTCTGCTGTCTCCCACTCGGTCTCGGAGTCCTCGTCCGGCAGGATCGTCTGGAACTCCTCGGGGAAGTGGGTCTCGTTGTCGTCGAAGACTGTCGCGGCCTCCTCTTCGTCGACCGTCTCGTCTCCGTCACCTAAGAGGGTTCTTTCCTCTTCTTCTTCTTCCGCTTCTTCACCAGCTTCTGTTCGAACACCTGGTTGTGCACGTCGAGCTCGTTGGTCTGCCTCCACAGGGCCTTCTTGCCGTACGCCCGGGTGTAGAGCTCACCACCTGAGAGAGTTGCGGAAACTCTCTTTGGAATCTTCCCCACACTCGCTGGGAAGCTCCGTGAGTACTTCCCCACGTAGGAAGTCCTCCTTGCACTGTGTTCCTTTCGTCCAGGAACTCTGGAACTGCACTCTCAGGCACTGATTGCAAACGCAGGGCCTCCACGTAGTCCAGCTCCTCTCTGCGTGGTCTTTTGCACTGGCCCGCTTCTTCTCCTTCTTCACTTCTCAGCCAGGCCTCTGCACGCCTAGCCGCTCCTCGAAGTATTCGCCGCTCCACTGCCGCGGCTGACCTTTGTCGAGTTTCACCTTTTCCTCGGTGTTGTCCTTTCTGTTCCTTGCCACCTTTTCCCGTGGTGACAAGTGTAGCAGCGACCCACGGAAGTCGCAGTGGCCCAAGCTCAGCTGGCTTGGCCTTTTGTTCTTGCAGAACTTCTCGAGGTCGAAGCGCCGCTCCACACGCAGCTGCTCGTCCACGAGCTTTCGCAAGTGCTGCTACTCACGCAGCTACTTGCGGTGTTTCCCGCCTTTCTATTGGCGGTGTGTTCCACCTGCTGGTCCTGGACGGCCAGGAACCAGCTCCGCTACCATGCAAAAGCGGTGAACGCTGTCTCTTATTTTGTACCACTGGGGCTGCGGAGTATAGGTCTAGGCACTTGGTAACTAGCTTTACAAGTTACTTGGCTGCCACATGCATGGTGCCATGTTTCTTTGCACCCTGACAGAATTGCCCTCAAAATATAATTTTGTGACTTTAGTTTGTCTACAAAATCGTGCTAAATGCTGAGCATTCGTTCGAGACTCTCGAGGCCTTGCATGATTTGCGCTCAAAGGCGTTGCAGAAAGCTGTCTTGGTGGCTCTGGCTTGTGACTCGTGCTGCAATCTAACCTTCCATCAAATTGCGCAAGCGCAGTCAAGGCAAGCTCATGAAGCAATCCAAGGAGTTTAATATGATGTGTTCATACAGGAGGAGCATGCATATTGGTGATGGTGGTAGACCCGATACAGTTAAGAATGCTGTACCTGCAGTTGAGAAGCCGGAAACTCACAAATGCTGTTTCCCGAAGGTGAATGCGGAAGACTACATGCTGCACAGATTTCCAAGAATCTATCTACAAAATTCAAATTGGATGTAGGATGGAGCCCCTGGTTCTAAAGCAATATTTCGTCTGCGACAAAGTTACGCTCCAGAGGGGCTGAAGCTCTTGCCAACAGGATTCCTCGGCCATGGAGAGACATGGTGACATGGTGTCACTGGAGTCTAAGGAAGGCTGGAAGGCCCATTGAAGATTTAGAAACGTTGGCAACCTTTCAAGATTTTCAAGAGTGTAAGATAGAGTGTAAGATTACTGAAACGGACACCAGAATGAGTTTGATTCTGATATCCGCTTGCTTTCACATGCTCCAGGTTCAGGATACAGTACCAAAGCTGTTGGCTGTTGGCTGTTTGCTGCTTGATTCGTCCCCTCTTCTAAGTGTATCTTGCAAGCTGGCATAACAATCATAACATGTTTGAATTATTTTGAATTTCTATTGTCAGGTCCTGTTGATCCTGTTGAAACCTCCTGACTTGTTTCCATGTTCGATTCATGAATCCTGTGAATCGATGGCTCCCCGGCTCCCCCCCTTCCCCCTTTCAAGACACATTGTTCGCTGCCGCCAGCCCTTCAATTTCAGCTGGCAAAGGCTGACAGCGAGCCAAACAAGCTCGCTACAATATGCTACAATCATGTGTTCAGTTTTTGTATCGATGTAAGGCCTTGTACTAGTAGCGCTTGTAGGGTGTAGGGCTAATTGTGGCTAATTCTTCCATCAGTCCCTCTCAATTCCGGTCCCAGTCTCTCTGGCCACAGGCGGAAACGGTAGGTTGTGTCACCTTGCAAGCCCCGAAGCTGAACACAGGCATGGAGTCTTTGTCCATCTGGTACAGCCTTGGAATGACCCCCTTTGCAAGCAACACATGCATATGGATCACGTTCAACATCTTCCAACTTTTGACATCTTTTGACCACGTTTAGAGTTCATACATGTTCATACCACATTTCATCACTGGTTTGATTAGCCTGATGCTTTCAGTCAAGTGACTTCGATGATCTTCACATCCTTCGGAAATGTTGCCCAAGCCAAGGTCCCTGCCTGGAACTTGCCGAGGGCCAGGGTGGAGTTTCAGGACTCAACGGTGCCTCCTCCCGGAGACTCCCTGGCTACTCTCTCACGAATCAGCTGATATCAGCTGCTTATCAGCTGCTTATCCTGAATTTAATGAATTTATCCTGGTATTCGCAAGACAAGCTTTGCAGAATCCAAAGCTACAATTGTTCAAAAATGTACAAAGCTACGCCGTCGAATTTGCAACCTTTTGCAACAGTCATGCTTAACGAAAGCCTGGGCCATCCCCCTTGTGAGCGCCTCTTCCACAACGACACCGGTAAGGCCCGGGACGCATTGGAGCTGTTCATTGTCGTAGCCTCACCAAACAATTGGCAAGGAGTTGGCATCGAAGAGAGGGAGCAAGTCACGGCAAGTCACATTCTCTCAACCGAACAGTTTACTATATGACTATATAAATGTTATACGTATCATATGTAATTACTACACTTGACACTGGTCCGCACAGTCCTTTTCAATTCCCCTCTAAACTAAAAGTGGAGACTTGTCTTGTTGGAAGGCTCTTGAGTCGCAAAAACACTGGCCAACCACTGAGGGCCGTTCTCAAGTCGAAGCAAAGCTGAACAGTTGTTGCAGTGATGTCTCCGCCTCAGACACTTAAATTTCAATAGTCAGACAGTCTGGCTGTTGATAGTTGGAAAATGCTTGAAATCCTGACATGTCCTGGCTTGAAGTCTTGCTTCAAGGAAGGCTGAAAATTGCTTGCAATAGATCAAACATTCCCGCAAGTTTTCCAGTTTTCCGGGCGTCAGAAATTGGCGCAGTATTGTGGCTGTTTTTTTGTCGTTTGTCAAAGTTTTGGCTTACAGCTTATTTAGCATGCGGCGTGAGTGGCTCTCAATCTTCGACTCCATTCACTTCTCAACCGCTATACAAATTCCAGATACATTGCTGTCGCCAAGAAAGAGACATGTTGAAAGGATGGCATGCTTGTGTGTGTGTGCGCGTGCTCTGTCTCTGAAATGGAAGCATTTACTAATCAAAGACAAGTCACACAACAAGCTTGTTGGTGCGACAGGCCGCACCGCAGTACCTTAGCTCCAGCTGCCTCTTGGATACTTTAATTTATATAGGAAAACATTGGGAAAACAAAAGCTGGTAGCAACAACAATTAACCATGGACAGGTGGTGAAATGATAATAATAATATATAATGATTCTGGGGAAGCAGCCGCAGTCGCAAGAATGAAGTGGGAATATCACCAAGACTCTAATTTGAAATCTTACACTCGTAATTTTATAATCGCTCATGGTTCCTGAACTTTTCCCAAGTCAAACTGATTCTGGTCGATTGTGCTTTGAGATCATCGTGAAGGGATGTGGTGTGCTTCCTACTTTGGCCGACTGAAAGAGTGGATGCGCCAAGCCTGCGCTTTGCCTACAATGGGTTTTTTTGGAAAGGGCGCCTTCACACGCCTACTTTGCTACTTTCAAAGTGCCTTCGTGCTTGCCTTCAAGCTTACACATTGCATCGTTGACATTCGTTGACTACACAAACGGAACAGAGTCGCTTTCACTGGACCCATAGTCATCAGGCCATCCATGCATTGTGGCAATTGGCATGGTTGAAGCTCTCTGTTGGAATCCTCTAAGGGATGCTTCTAGAGGGGTTGCAGTTGTTGCAAGCAACGGTATAGAAGGGGATACTATCGTGAACATGTCTGAAGAGTTGTGAATCAACAATGTATTTCTCTTTAATCCAAAGACCCATGAGATTAGATTGTTCACAAAAAGCCAGAACTCATAGCATAGCGTTCCTTCTTTGGCGCTCTGTATGTGAATTGAGTTCTTGAAAGTGTAGGCTGATAGGATGCTGCACAAAGCCTAATACTCAGACTGACTCATCTCTGCATTTATCCCTGCTTCGACAGTTGATAGGGTGTCCAAATATATCATACATCCTTTACGTATCTGTATGTTATGTTCTGCGAGTGTATATCACGCCAAGAGGTCATTCCAAGCCATCAGGTTTTCGGATGTCAGGATTCGCCATGATGCGGAATACAACCAGCTGATCTTTGGAGCAGCCGACATCATTGCGACTCCGAATTCGAACCACCTCAGAAAGTCACTGAGAAATACTGAGAATACATAGGCAAGTCATGGGAAGTCCAATTGTCAGATTGTCAAGAAAAAGAGGGAGAAGAACAAGCAGAGAACCAAAAGCCAAATCTGTCAAACAACCCACTTCGCCACTTTTCCAGCAAGGTCAGGCTACGAACATCTTTGAATATTGTCGAGTCTATGCAAGCCCAAGAAAACCTTCAAAAAACTGCAGGCCACAGACAGGCAGACAGCTGCTAAGCTTCACACATATGAAGTCTCTGTGTCTAATCCACAAAGCTTGGCTCTCCTTAGCGGAACAGAACTGGCCAATATCCTGGGGAATATGTCTGGGAACAAATCTGAATCTTTCAAATCTTTCAATATGAATTTGCGGGTGTCTCTTATCTGAATGTGTCTCTCAAATTTATGGGATCCCAGTTGTCGATCATAATTTGCAGCTGCCATAGACATCCATAGACAGCTGAGTGTCCAGAACGCCTTCCTTTGGTGATAGGTTTTGGATACGTCTTGGACCTGGCACTTAAGCTCTGACAATGCAACACTCAGTGCAACACTCCGTGCATCTCAACAGGACTCGGCACTCTACCCGACTCTACCCTCAATATCCTCAATGGGCTGCGACTATCTTCCTCCATTTCACAATGGATTTCACAATTCTGTACTCAGTGTGTTTTTTCATGGTCTTTCAGCAATCTTCATTAAAAGAAAACACACCAGAGCAGTACTCAAAACAGGCACGCAATCCTTCCTGAATAGTATAGTAAGCCAGAAACGACTCATATCTTTCGCAATTAAGCAATACATTGGCAACTCGAAGACAAACGTCCCATCTGATATCTTCCAAGATTAAATCCCATCAACACTGGTTGTCAAATCAATCTTACGTAGTTAATTCGACGAAATCTTTCCGACTCAATCTGACTGATCTGGCCTTGTGGACTGTTGCCCACATTGCACTCTCTGACCAAAACTCTAGGGTACACTCCAAGACAGGAGCACCTTCCTGGACGAGGAAGTCAAGGCCGTGGCGACTGTGTTCACAAAAGCAATGTCATTCGAGTCATTCGAGTCATTCATTTTATTTGATTTGAGTTTCAGGGTCAGTTCGTCAATTCAAAAATTTTCATCTCAAGCCTCACACGATCAATTTCTCTGAGCAGCTGGATCAACTGTAGACCATGCCAGCTCGATGAAATCTAGTGAACGCTTGGTACCTCAAAGGCACTCGGGAAAAGTTCGACTAGGAGTGTTCCTGATTTTTTCAACCCAAAGTTTCGTGTCAGTTTTCGTATGCAAAATGCTGTGAATATTGTGAACTCAAAAAATATGATGCCAAATGATGCCAAGTTGCAGTGCAAATCGCTGACCTCTTCGGGTCGGGTGGATGGTTGGCAAAAGAGGGTAGGTGATGGCGTCAACGACCTTGTCCACATAGACATGGAAGCAGTGCACAACATTACGACACACCGTGTCACCTGACGTCACTTGCCATGACCACTCTCCAAGCCCAGCTGCCTCGCCTTCCAACTATGTTTTTGGACCAAACTCTCAGCTGGCTCACCACATCTGATGGCAAACCAAACACTGTCACCTGGCGATCTGGCGATGCTGGCAATCATTGAACTCTTGACTATCCTGCCAGAATCTCCAGGCTTTGCCTTTCAACTTTGAACATCTTTTAACTATCCCTTCCAGACTTAATGAGTGAAAGTCCTATAGGGCAGCTCAGTGTCGTTCCACAAAATGCCGCCAGACAATGCTTCCAAATCTTCCAAATGATGAGCCAGGTTCCAAAGGATTTAAGCCTATTGTCTTGAGACACCATATACCATATTGAAGGTGACCTCAACACATACATGAAGCACCGTTGCAGAATACAGAATGTCAAAGATGTTCGAAGGATTTCATATTTCAAGATATGTCAAGTGTCAAGAAGTGGAACACATTTTTCCAGCCGCGCCTGCACCTTTCGGCTGGGTCCTCCACCAAGGTCGTCCCAGTCCCAACAGCTGGCAGAGGCCGAACATTCGCTGTAGACATCGCCCCAGGTGACCTGCACAGCATTGCATGGGGCACAGCATTGCTTGACGCATCATGCACAGCCGGACAGATCTGACAGATCTGACAGTGTTCCAAGATGTTCCAAGTCACATTCAGGACTGACTGTGGTGTGCTTTCATCTTGTCGTACTGTTGGCTTGAATATTCTGAATATGATGTGCACTGATCTTGCAATTGCATCCCTGTTGACGTACTGTGGCCTTCCCAGAGAATTGGACTTCCAAGTCAGTGATTGGAGCACCTGGCAACAGTGCAGGGGCAATGAAAGGCATAAGATGGATTAAAATAATTAACGTTAAATTAACATACATTAAAATATATTAAATGAATAGCATTGAATAGCCGTGTAGCCGTCGTGATGCTTCACATTTTCCCGCCCAAAATTCACGCCTTCGGGATCCAGAACCTCACACTCCAACACCACCTGGTTGGGCCGCCTCAAAATGCAAGGACTCAGGGAAAACGGGCCAAGGCTTGGAAGATTTGGAAGTAGGAACGGACACAGAGATGCTTTTAAGAATTTTTAAGAGATGAATCAGGACTCTTGAATCAACATGAATCAACTGTCAAGCTTGGTACGTCCAGCATCTAAAGACAACTATGTTCCATACATCATGCTGCATGGCTGCTAAGATTGAATGACTGTTTTGGCGGCCCTGTTGTATTGCTGCATGCTCCTCCTGATACATCTGTATACATCAAACTTCATCGAACATCACAAGGCTCACCGAACTATGTGCAGATACAAATTAGATCAATTTAGCAAGCGACCATCCCACAGTTCTTGGCTTGATATTGTTATCACTCAAACGAATGTTAAAGAAACTACTAGTAAACTTTGTGGAAGCCACACTGCTCCTTCGTTCCTTGTAGGACATTGTAGGGTGCCATTGTACACATTTGGCTGAAGATGCTGAAGGTCAAGTCGGACAAGTCGCCTGGCCAAGAGCTTCAGATCCCAGGGCGGAGCCGCAATGTCTGAAGTGCGGCCTGTGGCTTCGGTAAAGTCCTGGACGACTCAGGCGACTTTGAAGCCATACGAGTCATGCGAGTCATATGCAGTGTACAATTCATATGCAGATATCAACTGATATCATATGCAGTGTAACAACAGTGTAACAACAGTGTAACAATGTGCCTGTGGACACCTGACACTTCTCGAATCTTGTAGGAGAATCATGGGTATCCATAGTGATGCAAACTGATGTGAAGTGCAGATTCAATTCACTGCCTCACACTTCAGAGCTGAACAAGTGGATTCTTCCACAGTCACCTTCAGTATGTTTTGACATATAGCTTGTGTCCCCTATGACATTATGAGATCACCACTTTGAACAGTTTCGTTCCTTTCAAACAGTCTTTGCTGTGATTTGCACACCAGGGTCCTTGGACCATCCCACAGCATTGCGAAGGCGAGCACGGAGATTGTAATCCGTGCAGGATGTCAAGCGCTCGAGGAGGATCTCCGAAACCTTGGTATGCAACGCATTGCAACGCCAGCAATGCGATGTTTGTCGATTCCCGACGTGAAGGAGCACTTAGATGCACTTAGACTACCCAGTGACTACCCATGATGAGACAGTACCGGTTGCACCTTGATGCACCTTGTAGCTCCACATCTGTCATGAAAACAGAGCCCAAAATGCAGCAGAGAAACTAAAGCGCCTTCCTGCAATCAGGTTCCGAAAGCCAAAGCGATTTGGAATCAATCAAACGATATCACACGCATGATGCAATGATTCAATGTTCCGAATCTGGAGGTCTTTTGGGGTTTGGAGACTGGGATCTTGTTGGGATCTTTTTGGGAATGTCTTGGATCGTTGCGAAGTGGATAAGTGACGGATAAGTGATGATAAGTGATGATAAAACTTGATAAATGGATGTCTAAATGGATGTGTATTCGGTCTATTCGCGCCTCACAGGCAACCAGCTTGGAGCTCCAGGAGCTCCACGATCCACACCACTGCAATTCGCATTCCAAGATCGGCAAACTCATCTCCTCCGGTTGGGACTCCACCTGGATCCACACGAATCCACACCACTGTCTTGGATGATCTTGGATGCATGATGCAAGACCAATCCAAGAATCTAAAGTTGTTAAGCAAGAGCTTACAAGACCTTAGGCTACAGCAGTTATTTTGTTTAATAATTCTAATATGTGTCGTAGTGGTCACGAAAGAAAAGCAAAACTAGTCAAGGCAAACCTGCAGAAAAATGTGGCTCCGAGAGTCCTTCTTTCATTTCATCTTTACAAGTCTTTACATGTGCAGAGATCTGACAATGTTGACATCTGTTTTTGTGTACAAAACATGTCGCTGGATTCCGCTGGATTGCGGTGATTGATCGTTGTCACTGGGCGAAGGACGAGGACACTGAGACCTTTGGGTCTTCTCCGCAGCGTCCGCACCATCTTTGGGGCCAAAGGTCGGGAAGCCGTGGCACATTGGCAGTGGGCCTGGCTCAGCAGCGAAAAAATGAAGAAATTGAAACATATTGAAAAATGATAAAGAAGTCAATCGATTCTTCTGAATGGCTAAAATCATCTAAAATCATCTAAACTCTATTAATAACATCTCATCCAATGCTGGCTGTGGATCCAGCTTTACACGGGGGATCCAGCTTTACAGATACACCTACACCTTTCTGCAGGGATGCTTTAATTGAAAGGCATCTTGAAATTCCCCACTTGATGATGGTAAAATGCAACCCTTGTGGCCTCAAGCGTATCCGTTATCAATCGGAAGCTATAGTCGGTTTCCTTGGCTATGCAAGCTGTGCTACCGAACAAGTAGTCAGTGCAGCCGGTGCATACAAAATGGAAAAAGGGTTCGTGGGTTTCGTTCGCTGGCAAGTCCAAATTTGCAAAAGGGTGTAACTCAAATGGTGCTTACAGGGGAGTGTGGAGAGCTTCCAAAGCAAGTCTCTTGTCAGGAAGTTCACAATAGTCTTAACAGTGACCACCGTGGTGAATACAAGTTCACTGCCTAAAACAATGTTCTCAAAAACCCTGGAGTACACCCGTGGCTTTTGGGAACCCTGCATGTTGGACCAACGTAAACAGGGAAAAGGATGAAAATGATCGTTGATTCCACGCATGTTTCTTCGTGCCTCTAGCAAGTCGCAAACACTTCTGTTCTTTGTCTCAAGAATCCCAACTCGTCATCTGTATATGTGCTCCTTTCATCCGGAAACAGCCATTCTTCGCGAAATAAAATGTTACTGTACTTTCGCGCAAGTTTCGCGAAGGCTTTTATTTTTGAGACATAGCCATCAAACCCTCACGCTAAGCAGTGTTCGGAAGTCCGAGGCAAGGCCAGCTCGTAAGCGGCTGGCTGCAAAATGGACATCGCAACGCTGTGCACCAACTCAACACCGACCAGCTCCACAACAACAGGAGGCTGCCGGGTCAGGGTTGGTGCGGCAGAACGATAAGGAAACCGGATCTATCAATCTATCTGACCCCTACGTATCTGTTTGAAATTTAGATTGTATAACTACAACTACAGTAGGGATTGATCCAAGTTAGGGTTTGCAACCCAGACTGCCACTACTAGTAGGAGGGCTTTCAGCAAAATCAAGGCCTGCTCATT